TTACAGAGAGAGTGGAGAAGACAAGAGATTTCGGTTCGGGTTTTGAGAAAGAGAGACGAGATTTCATCAGTTACAGAGAGATGAAATCATGAAATATAATTCCATGTATCAAATATATATTTTTCATTTCCGACGGAATTGATCTGTAGGAAATCCGTGAGTACTGAAAAAAATGGAATTTATTTTTTTGGTTTGGCGGTCTAAATTCCCGCTAAATTGAAAACCCTTGGTTCCGTCGGAAATTCGTGGCATTTTTCCTACGAAATTCTGACGAACATAGAATATATGAAGAATATTATTTGCATGCATTTCTATTGGGCAATCAGAGTGTGGGGACAATGTTATCTTTAATCTGGGGGAAATTCGTGGATATATTTCCCACGCATTTCCGACGGATTTATAAAATATGTCGAAAATAAATTTTAAGTTAAATCTGTCAGAATTCCGTGGATAATTTCCTACAACATTCCGACGGATTCAGGGTAATTTTGGGGTTTAGAATTTTAAATTTAGTGATATGATAAAGATATTTCTAATTTACGTGTTTACTTCAAACAAAATGTTAACTCAATAAAAATAAACATTATAAAGAAATTTTTTTTTCACAACACCAACTTATACAATTTTTATACTAAACCCTATACCTTATATTATATACACTTAAACTAACACTTCCACATTCTCCATAAACTTAAACTTAAACTACCAAATGATTATTTTTTCAATTCAAAAGACATTGTACCAATATATATACTTTAGACAATGTTTGACAAGGGTTTCCATGAAATTATTTATTAATCTTATATTCTAAACATAAATTCTAGTGTTTCGTCGGAAATCCGTCAGAACAATTTCGACAAAATTCTGACGATATTTAAGGTCGGAAACTTATTTAAAATGCGATAAACGTGTTAAATAGAATAGTTCGTCGGAAATCCGTAGGACGTGCCCCACGGATTTCCGACGGATCTAGACTTGCTATATTGTGGAACATATTTTACAAGTCTGTCGGGATTCCGTAGGACGTTTCCCACGGATTTCTGACGGATATATAACATTTAATTTATAGAAATCGTCGGAAATCCGTAGGAAATTTACTACAAAATTCCGACGGAGCTAGACTTGCTATATTATCGGTCATATTTTACAAATCCGTCGGAATTTCGTAGGAAGTTTCTTACGGATTTCCGACGAATATATAATAATATTTAATTTTAAAATCATAATTTATAAAAAAAATATCACAATTAGATATATGTTTTTTTTTATCATAAAGTACAGGTTATATATAATATATATTACTGGTCCAAAATATATAATATTACATTGTAAATTACATGGACTACTATGTCTCTGAATCCGATGATGAGTAATCTGATCTTGATGAATCACAATCTTCCCCAAATTCATCAATTTCTTCCTCTGACTCCTCAAATACCCGATCATCCACATCTACAGTGAAATCTACGACAATATCAACTTCAAGTGAATGCTCAACCGAACTTAAACCTACAGAGCCTTGTTGGAGCGGTTCATGTTCAGAAATCCCATGTACCCGACCTCTAGGGTTTATTGATGTCACTGTAATCCATGGATCTTGCTTATTTTTTATTCGAGGATAGGAAATATAGCATACCTACACCATGTCATTTAAAGTTAATTAATTTATATTATTTTATATAAATGTTAAATTCTAACAAATAATAGTAAACAAATAAAATGAACCTGGTCTGCTTGGGAAGCAAGTATAAATGGATCATATTTATGGAGTCGTCTTCTGCTATGTATTGATGTAACACCAAATTGGTCATGACGCACACCGTGTCCAACGACTGGATTGTACCAATCGCATAAAAATGCAACGCATCTCAGGCCGAGCATTCCCGAATATTTAACATCCAAAATCTCTCTTAGGACACCATAATATACAAAATCACCAGATTGAGTAGATACACCATAATCTGAAGTTGATCTGCTCCTACCATCCTGAAAAATCTTAAAAGCGTAGCCTCGTGTGCTATACATTACGTGTGATTGTACGGAAGATAGTGGAAAACATACTAATTCATCTAACCACGTTGGAAATGATCGACCATTAGCTTTCTCTATCGTAACCTGCAAGACAGAGTTGCATATAATTTAATAAAATTATTAAGTTGATAATAAAAATCAATGTTATTAAAAACTTACATAATTTCTCAACCAACGTGAGAATTCTTCCTGTTTTAGTTCGATCAACTCATCCTCAGTTTTGTCTGGATATGCAAAACGTTGATACGCCATATAAATCCTGGCAGAATACGCCATATAAAAAAACTAAGAAATATATACAACTAAAAACTCAATTATAAGCAACAACTCGGTCTAATATAATAGATACCTCTCATATTCTTGAACTTCTTCGAAGTTTGTGAGAATATACATTTGCAAATGATCTCACTCCTGTGTTGAAAGCCTTCGTTTCTTACCTTTTCCACTGAGTCGTCCAATTTGTAAGAAAATATTGGGAACGATGACCGGATAAAAAGGTAGTTCACCGCCATCATCATGTCGAGTTGGTCTACGACTCTTTGTTTTGACCTCTTTTGTAAAGTAATACTCAGCAAAATTTGAAGTTTCTTCATTAATGCTTTGTGCTACAATAGAACCCTCCACTCTGCTCAAATTTTTAACTTTTTTTTTAAATGAAACATATACCGTTCAAAGGGATACATCCAACGGTATTGAACAGGTCCCCCAAGTTCTGCTTCTCGAGGGAGATGAATTGGTAGATGTTCCATAACATCAAAAAATGAAGGAGGAAATATTTTCTCTAAATTGCAAAGTATTACAGGTATATTGCTCGCAAGATTCTGGATACCATCCGATGTCAAAGATCGTGTGCATATATCTCGAAAAAAGCCACCAATCCCTACAAAGTATTAAAAAGTAATTAGATCTTAGAAAAATTAGTGTATATATATATATATATAAATAAAATAATAAATTTAATATAATTAGTATACCTGCAATTGCTTCATGGACATTACGTGGTAGAAGACCCGCAAATGCAAATGGAAGGAGGCGCTGCATCACAACATGACAATCATGACTTTTCATTCCAGAAAACTTCTTTTCTCCATGATCAACGCTACGAAGGTTAGATGCATATCCATATGGGAATTTAACATTATCGGCGATCCAGTTAAAAAACTCAGCCTTTGAAGGTTCATCTAACCGAAAAACAGGGACTGGAGGCTTTCCGCTTGATGAAACATGTAGTGCCTTACGAGAACAAATGCTTGGCAAGTCCAATCTAGACTTCAGATTATCCTTTGTTTTCCCTTGGACATTCAGAATGGTGTTCATTATGTTGTCAAAAAAGTTCTTCTCAATATGCATGACATCTAGGTTATGCCTCAACAAATGATCCTTCCAATAAGGCAAATCCCAGAAAATACTTCTTTTGTGCCAATTGTGGTTGATACCACAACCATCAACAGGTTGATGCCCGTTACCACCACACTCTATGGTGGTCTCTACACCGAAATCTCTGAACTGAGTTAACAAACCTTCTCCATCTACCTCAGGAGGTTGATCATTTAATACTCGACGGTTTTTACTAAACAATGTGGTGCTCCGACGATAAGGATGATCTTTTGGTAGAAATCGCCTATGACAATCAAACCAACAAGTTTTTCTTTCGTGTTTCAATTGGAACGCATCTGTGTTATCTTGACAATATGGGCAAGATAATCTTCCGTGTGTTGTCCAACCAGATAACATGCCATATGCTGGAAAATCGCTAATGGTCCACATCAGTACTGACCGCATGGTAAAATTCTGCTGACAAGAAACATCAAATGCTTCAACACCATGTTTCCATAACATTTGTAACTCATAAATCAGTGGCTGCAAAAACACATCAAATGCTCTCTTTGGATGCTCTGGTCCAGGAACGAGAATGGTAAGGAACAAAAACTCTCGTTTCATGCATAGAGATGGTGGCAAATTATAAGGTGTTACAATTACTGGCCACAACGAATACTGTCTTCCATGCTTTCTAAACGGGTTGAAACCATCCGTACATAATCCAAGATATATGTTCCTTGCCTCATACGCAAAAGTGGGATAAATGGATTGAAAATGTTTCCATGCTTTTGCATCTGAGGGATGAGCAATTTCTCCATCCGAGGTGTGCTCTGCATGCCATCTCATTGCACTTGCCGTACGCTCTGATTGATATAACCTCTTCAGTCTCTCTGTTAACGGTAAGTACCACATTCGTTTTTGTGGGACTCGCACTCTTCCCCATGTATCCTTATACCGAGGCTTGCGACAAAAATAACATGTTGAACGGTCTACAGTCTCTCTCCAATATAGCATACAGTTATCGATGCACACATCTATCATCTGATACGGCAATCCAAGACCACGAACAAGTTTCTCTATTTCATAATATGATGCTGGTGCAAGATTATTTTCCGGTAAAATGTCTTTCACAAAATCAGCTATTGCATCCACACATTCCTCGCTCAAATTAAAATCCGTCTTTATACCCATCATCCTAGTTGCAGCTGATAAAGGGGAATGTCCATCTCTACAACCAGCATACAACGGATTTTTAGCAGCGTCCAACATATCAAAGAACCTCCGAGCTTCTAAATTAGGTTCTTCTCCTCTATTTGCATACTCCGTAGTTGATGGTATAATTTCACGAAATGCATCATTCACCATCTGAACGTGACCAACGTTTCTCATTTCAACATGACCTACATCTTCTACTTCTATTGCAGGTTCTTCTAAACTATCTCTGATATATTGTTCACTAGTATTAGCATAATTAACCATTGAATCATTTTCTCCATGATAGTACCAAACTTTGTAACCCGGTACAAACCCATTACAATACAGGTGTGACCATACTTCGTCTATTATGACTGATCTACGATTCTGACAATTAGTACATGGACAATATATTTTACCAGATTTTTTGGCTTTTTTTTGCATACTCGCAAATGCCATGAATTGTTGTATCCCTTGTTTATATTCTTCCGTAATAAGACCCGTACCTGGAATTTGATAAGGCTTATCCATCTATGATCGAAAATAATTATAAGAAACTGAAGAAGACATTATAGATAGATTTTTTATCTGTGTTCAAAAACACATGCACTTGAGCAATTAAATACCCGCTTCCGCAACTGTTCTGCGACTAGGACCAAATTGGTCAAACAAATTGATTTAATATCAATTTTTAATCAATTAAAATTATTAAATTTTTAACTGTTAACCAAGCCTTTGAGCATTTGAGAAAGCTCACTTGATGATTTTTCGAGCAAGTGTGAATATTTATAGATCACTTTAGTTATCTTTCTCCTTTTTGCCAGCCGATGTGAGATAAATGTAACATAGTTGTCAGAAATCCGTCGGAATTCCATCAGAATTGGTCCGACGATATTTGTCGTCGGAAAGTCCTCGGAAACTTCCGACCGAACTCTTACGGAGAATGACGGACATGAATATCCATCTAAAATTCGTCACATTTTTGTCGGAATTTTTACTGATGGAATTTGTCCTCGAAAAGTTGTCGGAAATTTCCGACGAATTACCTACGAATTATATTCCGTCGGAAATATCCGACGGATTTCCGACGCATATCATTTTCGTCAAAACCTCGTCATAAATCCGTCGATAATTTCCGACGGAATATTACCGTGGGAAATTCCGTCGGAAATGACCTTGTTTTCTTGTAGTGTGGTCGGTGTGGGAATCTCTATGCGACCAGATGAAAGAAGGAGGCCTCGGTTTCAGAACCCTTGAGGATTTCAATATTGCCTTATTAGCTAAAAAGCTTTGGCGACTCCTTTGGTATCCCGATTCCCTTCTTAGTAGGATTTTAAAGGGGAGGTACTACAAATATTGCAGTCCACTTGAAGTCTGTGTCTCTAATCGGCCTTCATACGGATGGCGCAGCATACTAGCAGCAAAACATCTCCTTGCCTCGGGGATCAGGAAGACTATTGGATCTGGTTTTGATACTTATGTCTGGGCAGATCCTTGGATCCCAGATACACCAGCCCGACCACCTAGAGGACTTCTGGCGGACCGTGATCCGCTTATGTATGTCAACTCGCTTATTGTCTTCGAGACCAAGGACTGGAAACTAGATCATCTTCAAGAGCTTTTTCCTCTTGAGGAAATCACCCCCATACTAAGATTACGTCCGAGTCGTTCTTACTCGAGAGACGGTTATAGTTGGACTCACACTAAGTCTGGGAACTATACTGTCAAATCAGGATATTGGATTGCGAGATCCTTATCTCGTCTGTCTGGTGACCCCCCTGTTCAGGGACCGGGTATTTCGGTACTCAAGGCACATGCATGGAAATAAAAAACCACACGAAAGATCAAACATTTTGTGTGGCAATGCGTAGACGGTAGCGTGGCGACTTGCCAACGACTATTCTCTCGGCATATTGGCAGAGATAAAGGGTGCCCGAGATGTGGAGCTGAGGAAGAAACAATAAATCACGTAATATTTGAATGCCCACCATCGAAGCAAGTGTGGGCCTTATCGCCTATCCCCTCAGCTTCAGACATTTTCCCTCTATCCTCCATTTATGGTAACCTTGATTACCTATTTTGGAGAGCAAGTGAGGCAGGTTTTAGTGAGGATCTCCTACGAATCTTTCCTTGGATCATCTGGTTTCTGTGGAAAGCTAGAAACAGGAAGGTGTTCGAAAATGTGGATAAACCTCCTCCTGACATCTTAGATCATGCAAGAGCAGAAGAAGAAGCATGGAGGAAAGCGAACTCAGAGGAACATGGAGAAGTTGGCCAGGATCAGGAAGAAGCCTTGTCTACCACTCCTCCCATGGACGAGACTTGTTGTTATGTCGATGTTTCATGGCTGGTGTCAGCTCCCCTTAGCGGCCTTGGATGGATCGTCATTTCGGGTTGAACCATTTCTCTGATTTGGGCTATGAAATGCGTGCTCTCCTCTCATGTGACTTGTGAATCCTTCTACACGGATTGCCTTGATTTGATTGCTATGACTTCGCATCCTTCAGACTGGCCCTCATTTGCAGCCGAATTAGAGGACTTCAAGGCTTTATCATCATGCTTCAACTCCTTCAGCTTAAAGTATATCCCACGATCTGGTAATGTCTGTGCTGATACGTTGGCCAAAACTGCTAGGGCACGAGGTGTAAAGTTCTCCCAGATAAGCGTCGCGGCCCCTGCCTGGCTACCCTTAGCGGATAGTCAATCACCGCAACCGTAATTTGTATGGTGTTTGTTGAAAAAAAAAAAGACCACTGTTATCTCATGCATTCTCATCACATAGTAACAATGTAACATCGAGCTCAGTTTTGTTTCTTCCTTTGGTTACTCAACTTCTTATTCTTCTAGTTTTTTTTTTTTTTTCAAATGTTCATCTTCTTTTATTCCGTCATATTCCTCCTCTTCGTCTTCCATCTTTCAGTTCTTAATATATGTATTCGTTTTCTTATTATTCATCTAGTTTATATTTTTATTAAATTCTATTAATGGTAGTACAAAAATTATTGTGAAATTAGGAAAGAAAGTATTAATTTTTTAGGCTAATTTTGTTTTCAATTACTTTCCAATTATTGATTTTCTACGTGCAGAGTCTAGTAGTTCGCTTCTAAAATTAGTTCAAGATAATATATTTGGATACACTTATGTTCGTTCCTAAGAAAGATGTTGCTATTTTTTGAAATGGGTTATTAATATAACTTTTTCTTTAACATAGCCGCTTTTACCCAATCAAATTGATTTAATCTTCTAAGTAAATAATTCTAGATATTTGTTTTTATTGAAAAATATACTGCAAGTCTGCACAGTTAAATGTGATCAGTCCATGATTTCATAATTCTTACATCAATACCATGCAATTTATTTTGGGATATAAATAATGCATTCTGTTATTCAAATGTACCATGATATGATCCAATATACATAATACAAATGGTTGTTGGGAAAAATGAAATACTTTTGAAACACTCTAATTATTTTTTAACATCTTTGTATTCTCCTTCATCGTTACACTTAGTAAAGATGGTCTTGGGCTGGATTGAAAGTAAGCAGGTGCAATAAACTTAGATCCTTAACAGCAACTTTTGCGTTTTTCAAAATTGATTTTCTTGGATCTTCCTCCATCCAAGTCTCTTTTATCATTCCACCTTGCTGCAAAACACACAACAACGTCAAAATTCTAAGACATTACAAATCACAAATAATCTAAGTCCAAGAACTCGAAGAAGATAGATAGGACAGCACCTTACCTTGAGATTTGAGAAGATACTCTGTTGATAAGCCACTACCAGACTACCACTTCCAGTCATGGAAAGCTTAGGCGCTTTAGCAGGATCATATGTTTTTTTTTTGTCTATTACGGCTTGGTGGCTGAGTGGCTCTCTGAACAATGGTAATGCATGAGGATTGTGTTTACTGGTTCTGGTTGGTAATCTTCTACAGATCTCTTCCTTAGTGCATGTGCAATACAGACGCATGCACCTCTTTCAATTCGCCTGAGTTGGATCGTAAAGAATGTGAGTTCCTCCTTGGCTTTTGTGTCTAGATGTTGCAAAAATTTAGTATACGTACAATAGAAACCTTAGTGTGAAGTCGAAATTAGATTTTAGAGGAAGAAAATACTGTTTATATTATTATTGTTGTTTATCTGATTCAACCTCGAGTGCCAAGCGCATTGCACCCTGAAGCAAGAGATATTCTGACTTTTTTAAACAATCTCGAGCAAGTCTGCCATTGTACTGTCTTATTAAAGAGACCCTCGAACACCTTTAGAGTTTCTTTCAACTGACCCAAGTCTCAGACCTGATCAAAAGAAAATATTCAGTTTCTACTATTGACAAACTGGTCAAAAACAGGATAATGATTTTACCTTTACAGAGCCATCAAAACTTCTTATCACCAGAATTCTCTCATGCTAGAGAATTTAACAGAAGCTATAGATATCATCAGTTTGGGCTTTCCCAATGTATAGATCGGGTCAGCATTCACATCCCAGCGTGTGACTCCAAATCTGGATTAGATAACAACAAAGATCTAAGAAAAATTCACGTAGGAAAAAGAAAACTATGACCATTCCTGAACGCATATTACAGTCATCAGTGTGGATTTTCCCAAATAGACAATAACAATCAGACCAATCAAACAAACCCGGTTCATATAGAAAACACAAGCATAACAAACTAACACAAGCACAAAATCAATAACTAATTCATATGCGAAAAACCCTAAACTTTACCTTTCGACATTGTGCCAAAAGAAACAACCAGCTACTCAGATAACCTAAACCCAAATAAGCAGCACCTAACAAAAATAATAATCACCGTTAGATACAAAAAAAATAAGGAAAAAGAAGGGCATACCATATCGATCTATATTTAGATAAGCAAAACGCAAGCAAATCCAAAAGAATCAAATAAAGAAGAAGAGAATAACGAAAACAGGGATCTATTTTAAGATCGCTCAGACCACCAACAAAGCAGAAAGTCAACAGATCAATGGAATCCAAAAAAAACAACACACAAGTTCACAAACATGATACATACATCTCGTAGAGCAGAAAAGATACATACACCAAGCAAACAGTCGACCTTCTAGCAAAGAATATCAACAAAGTGCACAACGATCTAAAATTAATCAGATCAGTACCAACACAAAAGTCGATCATTAGATCAAGAAAAATACAAAAAATAAATTGTTTATATACTAAATCAGAACAAAGAAAAAAAAGAACCAGCTCTTAAATGTGACACATACAAAAGGATGCACATCACGGTTAAACTTCTCTAAATTAGAGTGACCAATACGTTCAAAAACCAAAATTAGTCAATCTTACAATAATTAAAAAGAATGAACGAATATATAAAGCAAGAAAAGACGAACAATAAGAGTATGTGAAGTTAGGGTATAATTTTTGTGACAAAAATCTAATGCGGCTATGATCTAATTCTAAAATTCAGGAAACCCATGATTTAGATATCTTGATCCGTAAACAATTTGATTGGTCGAAGATGGTTTAATAATTTGATATATTATAATTGATGTATTTAAAAAAAAAATAATTAATTTTTATAAAGAGCAAAAAGTAATTAACCACCATGATTATTTTTCAAATAGTGCCCCAATGGTAATGCTCTCTAAAAACTAATAGATAACCAAATAAAAAGAAACATTTCATCGAAATTGAAAGACAATATATACAAAAAAAAAAAAAAGTTGTCTTCGCAGACACTGCTGTTCCCAGCTCTAACCATTCATCAATCATTCCAGACTTCATATATATATTAATAGTCACAAACCAACAGAGAATAAACATACACTGCAAACGAAAAAAGAGATATATTAGTGCTTCAGCGTTCTCCTCACAAAGCATTAGAAGACGTCTGGATGGTACCGCCCCGGGATGGAACTGTTCTGCTGTGCTTGTTTCAGATGAAGCGTCAGAGCATAGTTGTTTACCTAATAACAGCAATCATATCGACAAAATTCAATCATCATCGACAAGTCGACAAACATATTCGGTACAACTTAGGAACAAGACACCAATACATACCTCTAGAGTCCTCAATTGCTCCTGGTATTGAGTAACTAGCTGCCTCAAATGCTGCAATTCCTGACTTTGGTCTTCAGATTCTTTCTGTCGCTTCTGTTGAGTCACCACAGCTCGTTTAAGTAGGCTGTTTTCCTGGAGAATGGCCTCTAATTGCTTCCTTAGCATCAAGTTTTCCTGCTAAAGAAAGCAAATTACTGTTATTAGATTAGATATCCATCTCCCACAACAACACTGATTACCATCGAAAGAAACAGAGAAAGAGACAGAGTCCAATCACAGATTGATCGATGAAACACCTGTTGGAGACTTTGCATTGCTTCAGCACTAGCACGAGCATTGATGGACTTCTCCAAAGCTTCCAATGCTCTCGAAGCACGGTCTTTGGCGTCCTTCATGTCAGAAGCATTCATCATTTCCCTAACAAACAGCTCAACCCACTCAGTGCCATTCAAGTTCAAGACATTTGGTTCTCCATTCGATAAAACTTCCTCCTTGGCTGATCCTGCAATGACAAAGACCCGTTTTCATAATCAGAACATGCAGATGGTGTCTGAAACTTATGTTTCAATACAATACACTCAAACTAATAAAGCTGATGATCACAAGCACCATGGAGAAATCTACATTCGTAAATATAAAGAAAACACAAACAAGTATTTTTTTTTTTACCCCAAAACTACCTTGCGGATGAGCTTCAACCTTTGCTTGGGTTAAAGTAGATTGGTTTGTAGCAGAGTCTGAATTCTTATTGGCAGATTCTAAACGAAGCTGATTCAAACATCTAATGGCTGATTCAAGATCATCTCCACATTCCTCGATTGCCCGCTCAAGAATCTAGTACTCACAAAAATGTCAACAATTAGTAGAAAAAGGATTATTTAGTTGGCAGAAATCACAATATTCATCTGATCGGAATCGAAATCGAAAAACAAGAAAAGTCCAATAAGAATATAAACAAAATCACAATTTTGCAAACCCGAATCTTACACGCAAAAAAAATCATGGGCGAAAAAGATAATCCAATAGAAAGCGTTTGCAAATCGAAAAATCACCTGCTTATCCATATCGGGGAAGATCGCGGCGAGGTGATCGAGAAGAAGCGAAGACGAAGGAGTAATCGGAGGAGAGAAACGAGCCGGAGAAGATGAAGAAAAGAAACGGATTTTCTTGGAGACGGGAGGAGAAGCGGCGGCCAAGTCCTCGAACAGAGATCTCTTACCGCAAACAATCGCAGACATGTTATCTGCTTCCCCCTTCTTCTTCCTTCAGATCTCACCTTTCCTTTTTATTTTCCTTGTAATTCCTCTGATTATCGGAAACCAAGTAAACCCTTGAGAAGAAGTCTTTTAGCGGATCTTACAGATCTTCGCATCTAAATTGGTAAATTGGATCTAACAACCATGTTTAGGGTTATAATGACGGGACTCGGAAACGGACTCGGGCTCGGAGTAAAATCGGACCCGTAAAATCGGTGATTGGTTTCTACTTTTTAAAAGATTACTTTTTGATCTAATACGCACATGTTATATGTTTTTCAAATCTATATTAATATATTAGTATTTGTAAAGTGATTTGAGCTATGGTTACCTTTGTATTGTTTTGATTAATGAAAATTAGATGATTTGATTGGTTGATAATGGTTATGATTTGATTGGTTGAATTAGTTGTTTTTAATCATTTAAACAATATTAAGTGGTTAAGACATAAAAAAAAAGGCCCATGATTTAGTCTATCGAATATCGTGGTCTAAAATCAAAATTTAGAAACAAAATCATTATAGATAAATTCCAATATATCATTTACACTGAATTAGATGAGCTGTATTGGTTATGTTCTTTATCCATTAGTTGAAGTTTCACGGATTCGTTGTTTTTATTTATTTATTTATAAAGTTTTGTTATAAGTCAATCTTTGGAAATATGTTTTATTTGTTAAATATTTTGCAAACATAAATATAACATATTTACCTTTGTTGTTATCTAGAACGGAAGCTTTACTTTTTTCTAGTTAATAACTACAGAATTTATGAAAAGATAATATCGTATATAAAATAATAATTATCTTTTATATTTTTCATAAAAAAACTAAATCGTAGATGATTTAGACGTATAAATATGAGTGTTTTAAAACAATCGTCTTATAATTTACAGTTTAGTTTCTCTATTAGGATTCTGTGGTTTTTTTTTCGTTCATAGCTTATTATTTGAATGCTAGGGTTTTTATAATAGCATTAGTTTTTTTGATTTTTTTAAAAAAGCTTCATGATGTTTGTCTACTTGCATACAAACCTAACCATATGTTCATCTAAGTACAGCTTTGATCATCCATCTAAAGTGATGATTACTTGAGAAGTTCTGTCTACTGCTTCCGGTATAGATTTAGCTTTCTTCAAATTAATAATAATATGTCCTTTACGTTTTTAACAATTCTAATATGTTTTTATCGTCCATAGGTTTTGATAACCAGACTTATGCTCGCAAGTTATCTTCTGTGTTGAATTCATATCGCCATATAGCGAGCCCGAACATGGATTAAAGAGAGATATCTGATTATTGTTATGTAACTCCATACATTTTCATCGATATCACAAAAAGGTTGTTATGCCTTCCCATAATATTAAAATTTTTCTAATACTTTTTAGTAATTGTTTTGTATTTAGGTTATCCATGCAAGTTACTTATGGATACTGATATCTACGCTTGGACCTTGCAGACTTATAATCCTATAATCGAAGGTTCGTAGTGCTATATCCTAATCTTATAATTTGGTACCTTTTCTATATATTAATCTGTGAAAGTATTAATATTTTATTTGTTTTATGTAGATCTTGATTCAGCATATTATATAACTATTCTTGATCAGAAGTCAAAGGAGGTATTTCTGCCCTTCCTGTAATTTAATTTTGTTAATGATGTATATTAATTTTTTTATGCGTGTTACATTTGGTCTGATGTTCGTTTTGTAATTTTAGGTTCTGATCATCTTAGTTCGAGCGACCATGCTCATAAGACCTTTATTTGGGATTTTGAGAGGAAGGCTTGGATTATAAATAAAGAAAAATGGTTTCAGTGGTTCGTTTTTTACTTTGGATGCCATTTTTTCGTTTTTTTTTTTAATTTTTTTTCTTATTATAACAATGTTTTAATTTCATATGTTTATCTATGCAGAAGATCATGACTCTGATGATACTGAGATGTTATCTGGCTGTGGTACTGATGATGATTATGGTTTTGAAGATTACATTGGGTCTGATGCTGAGTCGCAAGATGATACCAATGATGTGAATCAAACAGATGAATACGATTTCTGAAGAAGATTTTTTTGACGACGGTGAATCTTTAGGATCTGATGGTTCAAGTGATCACTCGGAAGGTGATAGCGGTAACGATGAAGATGATGACGATGATGATTCGACTGATGATGATGACGATGACGATGAAGATTTTAAGTTGGATGATGAGACTGAGAGTGACGATGATAGTGAAGATCACCAAAATGTCAAACCAAATGATATACTCATCAAAAAGAATATTAGTGTTCTGTACACCAGAATTCAGTGTGTACTTATACAGTGTCTCTTGGTTCAATGTGTTTTGTAGGGTGTGTGTCCCGTTTGAGACCTTCCTGAGATAGTTGTACTATCTTTGTTAAGGTTTTACAGACGTGGGTGTATAGACTAATTTCAAAACGTTCTTCTCTGGATTTCATATTATCAGATGAACAGGTATTTATTATATGATGGGAAAAATATTATAAATTTGTGTTGATGTCTAATTGATTTTTGGATTCACAGGGTGTAAAAATTCAGGCCACTGTTAGAGATGGTGAGATCGATGTTGCAAGGTCTCACATCGATGTTGGTAGTTGGATTATTATCAGTCGTTTTGCTATTATCCAGTGTAAGGATAGTTGTAGACCGACTTCTCATAGCTACAAAATATTGTTCCTAGCATCAACTACCATTGACAAGACTTCACGTAGATGTGAAAACGATTATTTTGACTTTGTAGATTTTCAAAGAATATTAGATAGTGCCCATGATGATGACTATTTAGTTGGTGTGTTTATTTTCAGTTTAGATATTGAATTTCATTATTATTATATTGCTCATGTTAATATTAATTAATTTTTGTTATTTATGAAGATTTGATAGGTCGGGTCTTAAATGTAAGTCGATCTGGGACTTGGTGTGGTTTACTCTTGGGAGAGCATCCGTTCTTTCGTATGGCAGTCTATGTAAGGATGTAGATGATTCCAAAAAATGGGGTGCATATTCAACCGTAACCTTTTGTTTGAGGGATAAACGGCATTGTTTCTTGAACGTTTTGAAACTATATATTGTCATTTTGTGTTTTATCTAGCTGATTATGCGTGACATGTTTTAATTTAGTGGTGTTGATCTGAGTTGTGAGTTATCCTGTGATATGGCTAAAGACTTCTACGCATCTTGGAGTCGTTGTGACCAGGATATCACTGTGTGTGCTTAGGTGGGCGGTCATTGATTATTTTGGAGGTATTTTTGGTGTAATAATTTATAGTCTTTATGCTTTCTGTTTATTGCATTGATTCTATATGTATGTTTATAAACGTAGGCAAGATCACTATCCACTTCTCCTACTAGGTTCGAGCTCAATCCCCGTATCCCAGAGATAGATGAGTTTTTGGAACAGTGAGATTTTTTTTTTCCCTATGATATTATTTGATTCTTAGGTTATTCTTTTGTGGCTGCATTTAAATATTTTTACTAACCTGTGGTCTCTCTCTCTCTCTCTCTCTCTCTCTCTCTCTCTCTCTCTTTTGGTGAAACTGTAGATATCCGCGTAAAATACCATGTACGCGTGGTAATATGGGACGTCTGCATTAAATAGTGTTATGATACATCTTATTCAGATATGCATATACATACATATATATATTATTTATCATGTATACAAATTAGAATTTTAATTATTTTTAGGGTTTATATTCTTTATTCTTTAGACGTTTGTATTTTTATCAATAAAAGATATTATTTAAGGGGTTTTTGCTAAAAATAACATAAAACTTGACTTTGAATACAAAAGTAGACCCCTGAAAAATAACCCTAATTTTATCCTCATTCTAAAACGGTGCTGCTCTCCTTTGCCACTAACCATTGCCGCCTCTCGCTGTTAACCTCCACTGGATCTTGCGAATCTTCTTGTCAAGGTAAGATGTGGCTGTTTCTTCTCGCCTTGATATCTTTGTTGTTCGATTCATGAATTTCGCACCATCTGATGAAGATGCAGGCAATGTAGGAGAAGATGAAGATATAGAAGGAGAAAACGGAGGATCTGCTGAAGGAGAAGGACGAGATCTTGATGAAGAAGGAAGAGGAACTCGAGACGAGGGATGTAGAGTAGGAGAAGCTTAACGCAGAGCTGAAAAAAACACTGCAGAAGATGAAGGAATTCAAGCCTCATATGGTACGATTTCTAGATCTACCTCTGGTTTTCCATTTTTTTATAGCAAATTACTGATAATGAAGATCCGGATTTTGGGTATGCTTCTGACTTTGAGCGAATACCACTTTGTTTATGCTGATAGAGGAGGAGCAAAAAGAACAAGCTTCTATGAAGAAGTAATCTGCTGGCGAACTTCGTGTTCACAAAGGTATATATATTCCATTTACTCTTTATTTCCTCTCTCTCTTTTTCCTCATTTTTTCACCTCATGAATTGATTTTGGATTCTCTTAGTTCTTGAATTAATTTTGTTGTTTTGTTCTGGAAATCTCTCCTCCATGATTTCCTCTAGATGATGTTTACCACTGATTAACCAATAAAATAAAACTCAGAATCTTCTTTCTTTTTCTTTGGGGATTCTTAATTGAAATCAGGATAACATTCAAGAGAATCATCAAGAACAAATCAACTGAACAGTGTTTGGTGATAAAGACGAAGAGTGTTGAGTACATACCACCCTTCCCATTGGAGATCTTTAAAGTTTCACATTTTTCCATAAGTCCTTGACATATTCAGAGTTCTGTTTGACAAAATATATGAAGCAGACTTGGATTTTCCATCTTATTCCCTTTCTCCCTTGGTTTTTTGGATTTGGTGCTGATGCCTACGCCACAGTTGGATTTTCAATTGTAATTTTTGTGTATATATCAAATAAGATGCTATTTATGCAGAATGTCTTGTTAATATAATTAAGTTATTCTATATAGATACAAACATCATATAATTCAGAGTGATAATGCAAATAAAAGTTCCACAAACTAATTCCAGATAAACATGTTTTAAATGACTATAAAGTATGCCAAATTCAAAGAAAAAAATTGGATTGATGTTACTAGCAACATAACTTACAAATGCCTAACTCTACTCAGACTTTATGAGAAGTATGTATAAGTATGCTAAAAGCCTAATCAAATAAAAACATTGATTTCTCCAAAGTTATATACTACAAAACACGTTAAACTCATACATATGCAACAACATTAACTAGTA